TAAATGAAAAAACGATGTATTTCAGCAAGTATTAAAACCTTTTTGTTTTATTTTAGGCCTTCTTCAAAATACCTATGCCACAGCAGTTGATTTTTTTGCCGTAAAACCAAAATAGTTTCATGCATGCCCGGCCGACTTGCCGATCTGAACTCTGCAGAAAATCCACATCGAACTTCGCACCGCGATGTAAAACAAAATGTCGGAAAACTTTTCTTTGACGCATGCGCATTTGCATAAATGTGTACACACATAAGCACACACACACTACACACAATAAAAAACAAAAGAAATGTGACAGAGTGATTACAATAGTTCCTATTGCATTACATGCATAGGAACTAAAAAGTGAAGATAATTGTGTTTAAGGCGAACAAGAAATTTGTAATTTGTCCAATCATAGAGATTGATTTTCTCTATGATCCAATCATCATAATTATTATATAGTAGTTGAAGCTTAATAAGCTATAGTTAGGCCTAAGTTGTCTTTTATATTAGGCCTAATTAGATCGCTATAGATCTGCGCCCTTGCCTGGGTATATCTGTGACTGCGGAGTGGAGGGTGCATACAATTATGGTCTAGTTTTTTTATACACATGTTTTGTGATTATGACTATTAATAAATAAAGAATGTTTTGAGCAGTGGCAAGTTCATAATAATAATAATAGTGTAGTTTTATATAGCGCACATATCCATCTAATGTAATGCTCAGGGCGCTTGAAATGTGGACTAGGAACTCGACCAATGACTTTCTTCGCCCCTAAGGGTCCCTTCGTCTCCGTGCTACCTGGTAACAGCAACTCTCGTCGTCCACCACAGGGGCTGTCTGTTCCAGTACACCGGGGTAACCCCCTACTCGTCTCGAAGGATGTACTGGGTTCTTTATAGTGCACTCGAGCCATTGTATACACTGGGCCTACGGTTTATAGTCCTTATCCGAGAAGACTTGTTCTACCACCAGAACCATAGGCGAGCGTGCCGTTCGAACCAGCGCCAATATTATGGCTATAGCTTGCGGCGTCCCTGCTAACCGCACGGCCATTCGACTCATGGAGGCCCAACCAGCCCGTCTGAGCCAGAAATACAATTGATAAAGCATTAAGGAGGAGGTTGGGGTGCTATGAGAAGTGGTGATGTTAGTGCTTGAATTAGATGTAGTGCAGTCAGAGAGAATACGAAAATGGTTTTGGCGAGATGTCATTTATCTAATGTCTTTGGTGCACCCAGTGTATGGATACTATATACAGGGAGATTTTAAAAATTATTATAATAATAAATATTTTTTACATCTCCCTGTTTAGACTAAGATGTAATAATCATAAAAAGTCTATTAGAGATAATTCATTATAGTAAAGCGGCTAAGGAGAATAATCGTGCACTTTTGCAGGAAAGCATGAAACTTCCCACAGTAGTACTATGACAAATAAGGATCATTAAAAAAATAGACCCCAAAAACTAACGCCGCCATCTTGAAATTCAAAATGGCTGCCAAAATATTTGATTTTATCAATATCTTCGTATCTACAGCACCTAGCACTCTCATTCAAAGGTCTTGAACTCATCTTTTCAATATCAGGGAGTATCATGCAATCATCAGAAATTATATCAGATGGCCGCCAAATTGGGTTTCAAGATGGCCGCCAAAATTTTGGTATAAATTATTCTACTCGCTCATCAATCTGACAACAATCTTAACATTCCACAAAAGAATCAAATTCTCTCAGGTTATCTATTCTCTGAACGCCGCAACGGTCTATTTCTTTTGCCGTTCCGAAATTATGAAGATCTGTTCCCCCTAATCTTAGATCAAATTCTGATACAGTACTACAATCAAGACCCTCCTTAGTAGGACTAAAACCTATCTCTTTAATCAATAATTCTTGTATCTTTAAGCACTTATTTATTATTATTATTATTATTATCATCATCATCATTATTATTATCATTATTTTTGCCATCTTAATATCTACAAAACTTGTCCGAAAGTTGGGCCGATCGAGACAACACAGACCTAGGGGTCATAACGCCTAAATAACATGTGTGTGTATGTAGGTGTGTGTGTATGTATGTATATGTATATATATGTATATGTATATATATATATATATGTATATATATATATATATATATATATATATAAAATTACCGTATTTAGCAGAAAATGTGGTTATTTTCATTTTTTTTTTTTATCACGAACATTCATTATTTTATTACTGATTCTGTTGTAATCTCTTGTAAATTTATTTAAATTAAAATTTAAAGCCCCATTCCCGGCAAGATTTATAAACGTAATACGAAACTGCTAATTTAACTGAATTTAGACATTCCTAAACATTAAAAAAAATGTAAAATAAGATTGAAATTTGATTTTTTTTTTTTTTTTCCGTTGCTAGTATTGACACTTGTGAAATATGATATTTCATAGGAATTATTTCAAATCTTTTAAAAAATTATTCTGACCGCGATTTTGACAATTAAACAAACATATCTCAGGCCTACTCGATCGATCGCAGTGTGCGAGATGTGAAGTACAAAAACCAATTTCATTAGAGAGGGCGCATAAAGTATACATAAAAGCGAGAGCATTCCCACCGGATGCGATCTACAACCTCTGAATTTGCCTGGTTACGAAGAATTCGTCGAGAAAATGGTAATCTTCTATGAGAAATAGTCTATATTTCTCTGTTTTTTATTCTTTTGCGTAAAACTTAAATGTATGCCAATATTTTTCCATTGTTTATAATAAATAGAGTAATGCATATTCATTTTTTCTTTAAAAAAAAAAAATTTTTTAGTGAAAAAAAAAAAAAAAAAAAAAAAAAATCTTTTTTTTAGTGAAATTTTGCCGGGAATGGGGCTTTAATAAGAAACTTTTCCGGTTTATTTTTATTGTGTTTGTTGTGATGGGTAGGAGGATGTACGCGTATCTAATGTGCGTTGGCAAAATACGCGTGCATATAACTATGACAACATTGTTTCACTTCCATAAAAGCAAAACTGTCCAAGGAAAAATGTCACTAGATAAGGGAAAGGTTGAATACACTCCGGTTACATTTTACCACCCTGATGTTTATAGCCGTGATTTCGGAACGTTTGATGTCACTGTCTGTCGTGGTTATGATAATTCTAAAGTAGTGTTAGTAGTGATGAGTAACAATAGCGTTCTAAATGGAAATCAGGTGAAGGTAGACGAATCTGGGGTTTTGACGAATACAAAATCACAGCAGTACGACCCTAGATTGCAGTCCTACTACAACTCAGCTATGCACGTAAGAAATTATCGGGAAATTCGTAAATATTTTGAACAAGAGAGGTAAGAATATTATTTGTACTACAATCAGTTATCAAAATGCTGTATCGTAAGTTAGGCCAACATTTTATATAAATGTTGCTACGTTTGTAATACACTGTTTCATATAGTTCATAGTGACATGTTTAGTAGTATATTGTTAAATTTGTATTTGGCCTAATAAAAATACTAAAGCACCAACGTATATTGAAAATTAAGCAAATTAAAAATAAAGTACGCAAAATCAAAATTTCCCTCAAGAACTGAGAAAATGCTGTAGATGTCTTCCTGTTAATGCCAGAAGGACCAATAGTGTTGTTGAACATGTTTATGTAATTTCTTGTTTACAGTAACCCGAAAGTGAAGAGACTGGATTCAGTAAAAACCTTATCCCGTAAAATGAGGGCGTTACTTCATCTGTCCCGCCAGTTGACTGACAGTCTTAGTGTTCAGCCTTGTGATATCAAAAGATTGGATGACATTGTTAAAAATGTAGTTCGAAGCGTGCATGCTAAATTGAAGTCAACACAAAATGCTATGCTAATCAATAGAGAGTTATATGAACAGACAGAGATATTAAAGAAAACATTAAATATGTTTTGTGTGGAGGTTATTTGTTCCAACGAAATAAGAATGAAAGAGAGTAGATTTAGCACTGATAGTCCTATTCAATGCTTGAGGACTAACGAAAGAGCTTCCACAAGTGCTCAACGAGAAGACTGTCGCAAAGAAAAACTTAAAAGTCAAACTTTCATTGAAGACGATAGATACAGAGACTTAAGGTCTTTTTCATACCTCAGTTCAGAAATCACTAACCTGAAGGAAGATCTAGCAAAAATGGAATTATCGCATACTATCTGTACAAACAAGACACGTCAATCATTTTGGCGCGCATTGTGTAACCCATGGAAACGGAATAATGACAAAGATAAACTCAGTGAACAGTCAAAGAATAGCCCTACTACCAGAATTTCCATAGACATAGATGGTGCCATCCAAAATATTATAAAATATGGTGCTACTTCTCCGGAAGAAACTCACCTTATGAGTATCATTGATGCCAGTGTTTGGGATGAAGTGACCCGGATGAGAAGGCAGAATTTAGAGTCTAAACAAATTGTACATGAATTACTCAATGAAATCGATAAGCAAGAAAAAAACCTTCGTTCCAAGGATTCAGAGTTGAATGGAGCTCGAGAACATATTGGCAGTCTCATACAGAAGTCAAAAAGTGAGGTGAATAAACTTGTGACAGAGAGAGAAAAGAAACATATGCATTTGGTGAAATTAGATCAAGATCGTTGCAGATTACAAGAAGATAAATCTTTGATGAGTATAGAGCTAGAGAGACTTCGTCAGACAAACCGTCGCCTGTTAAACGAAGTATGTTGTTTACGTCATAGTAACAGAGAATTGGAACAGCTTATGGAAAAGGGGCACGATCAGCGCCTTCAAACAGAAGCGCACCCGGTGAGAGGAGCGCAATTAAAAGGTTTTTATGGGTCTGGGCAGTTCACACCTGGATTGTATCTGCGACAGGTGGCCAATATATCGAGTCCGGCACTTGTTACAACAGATAATATGATGCGTTCTAGCCAGTATAATTTGTCAACATGTGCAAATTTTGATGACTCAGAGGAGGACAGTGTAAGCAGCTGTAATTCGATTAATGCAGACACAAACCACGATGAATTTGATGGACACGGGCACCTAACAAATTAAAAACATGCAATCAAAGATTTATCATCTGAAAGTTATGAAGTGTCTCTAACGTAAATAAAAAAGCATTTAGCGTAGACATATGTGTTTGTTTTTCTATACAATGTTTCTCTTCACTTGTTTTCATCACAAATAGATCATAGTTTCGCAACCTATACAAAAACGATAACAATATTATACAGTATACGATTAAATCCGAGAAAACTATAGATTTTCATAATTATAATCAAGTTTCCAATTATTCGAAAATTACGGAAGCACCTAAGTGCCATTAGACTTGACGACTTGTCAAGATAATTTATGTTGTCAAATCAACATAATATACATATCATGTCGACATGGCGAGATAGATTATCTTGACAAGTCGTCATAGTAAAAATTGTATGTTGTCATGGCCAGATAGATTATACTGACAAGTCGACATAATACATATTGTATGTTGTCATGGCGAGATAGATTATCTTGACAAGTCGACATAATAATATAAGTTGTATGTTGTCATGGCAAGATAGGTTATCTTGACAAGTCGACATAGTAAAAATTGTATGTTGTCATGGCGAGATAGATTATCTTGACAAGTCGACATAGTAAAAATTGTATGTTGTCA